TTGTCTTTTTGAGACAGGGTCTCCCTGTAGCCCCAGCTGTCCTGGAACTCACTGTAGACCAGGCTGGCCTTGAACTCACAGAGATCCGCTTGCCTCTGTCTCCCAAGTGCTGGGACTACAGGCGTGCGCCACCACACCCGGCTATAAGTCTTTTTTAAGGGCCATATAGTAAACATTTCAGGCTTTGTGGATCCTGTGGTGTCTGTCACAACTACTCATCTCTGCCGATTCACCATGAAAACAGTATAAATAGCTCATGTGAGTGTGCATGTGTTCCAAAGGAACCTTTTACAGAGATTGCTGGTCAACCTGGAGGTCAGAATTGCTGGTTCTTCAGTGCCTCAACTTTAGGGAAGTACATGTCACTTTGAAACAGGAGAAGATAAATGCTGGCATTGTGGTGGAATGCTCTTGTGATCCCAGCACTCAGAACCCGAGGCAAGGAGGATTGCAAGTTCAGGACCAGCCTGAGCAATTTGAGACCCTGTCTCAAAATAAAAAGTAAAAAAGAGGGCTGGGGTTATAGCTCAGTGGTGAGCACTTGCTATCATGTGCAAGGCCCTGCACTCAGTCCCCAGTACGTATAAAAGAAGGTAGAAGCAAGGGTCCTGTCAGAGGCTGTTCTAGAGCTGCTGCTCTGCATATGCCCACAGGGGAAGCATTTTCTCAGGATGGCAAGCCTAACCTCCTGCATCTCTTTTTGTCAGACACAGGACCAGGACCTCAGCACAATTTCACCAGCAATCATCTTTGAATCAATGTTCCAGAATTCAGACGATACTGCAATTCAGGAAGATCCGCTGCAGACAGGTGTGTTCTGCAGACCAAACAGTGTGGGTCTGGTAGTTCAATTCCATCCTTTTTTCCAACTGCCCTTCGTCCCTGAGGAAGAAGGTCTCCTTTCTAGAGTCTCTCATTGGTTTTAGAAATTGGGAGGAGCTGTGAGCTTTTCCTTCTGGAGTTCTCTGTTGATGAGTGGGTGGGATCCACAGAAGAGGGTTCAGATGTGCAGGTCACACTGTGCTCAGAACACACAGAAAAGGTTTTTGGGTTTTTGGCGGGGGGCAAGGTTGTTGGTTTTTTTTTTTTTTTTTTTTTTTTTTTTTTTTTTGTCTTTTTGAGGCAGGGTCTCCCTATAGCTCCAGCTGGAGCTTACTTTGTAGACCAGGCTGGCCTTGAACTCACAAAGTGCTGGGATAAAGATGTATGACACAACGTCCAGCAGGGTGCTTTTTTTAAAATGCTTATATTCACCTTTTTTTTTTTTTTTTTTTTTTAAATGAGGCTTTTTGCTACTCTGACATTTCCCCCCACTTAAGAAGTAACCCTGAAATCTTTTTAGGGATTAGATAAGAGCTCCCAAATACTTTTGACATTTTTTACCTTTGGGACAGTGTATGTTGCTAAGAGGCCCAATGACATTTTGACTTTTACCCAAGAAGCCCGCTACTTTTTACCCTAACTGCCTAGCCAATTCCTACCTCCTATTTTTATCACACCATCCTCTGAAGAGGTTACCCAAATTGCCGATGGGGAATTGGGACGCAGATCGCACTGGCTTCTTCCATACTGAACAGGGACTCAGGGTGAGGCATTTGGGGTACCCCTTCAGTGGGTCTATCTAAAAGACTCCCAAATTGCATAACTCTTACCTATAGGGAGAAAAGAAAGTCCTTAACTGGTGCCTAGGAGATGTGAAGGAGTAAAGGCAAGAGTAGTTAGCATTACAAGTTCTAGACAAGGAGCCAAAAAAAAGCAGAACAGGGCAAATTTCAAATGTTCATATCAGAGTCCATTGGAATTTTTTAACAAGAGCTTCCAAAAGCATCCCTCTATTGGGTTCCTCATTTTTCTTTTGTCTGCCAAGGCTGGACTCAGGTTTTGTTTTCAGGCACTTTTATAGCTGTTGGAGTGGCTAGAATCAGTGTCAGTTCCCTCTCGAAGGCTTCTAGATAGAGGGATAAAACAAATTTAGCCATCATTTTAGAACAATAGCTGGTTGTTTCCCTTATCTACAGGTGGACACTACAGTATTGCAGACCAAGATTTGAAGTCTTACATCTGAATAGTACTTTCTGATTAGAAGCAAAAATCATCAATAAGGAATAATTGTCTAAATAACATTTTATATGGACTTAAGTCTAATATCTGTGAAGTGTAATCCCTTGAAGTCTTAAAGAAATATACTGATGAGCTGGATGTGGTGGTGCATGCCTTTAGTCCCCGCACTTGGGAGGCAGAGGCAGGCGGATCTCTGTAAGTTCAAGGCCAACCTGGTCTATCTACATGGTGAGTTCCAGGTCAGCTAGGACTACTTGGAGACCCTATCTCAAAAAGACCAAAAATTAAATAAGTAAATAAATTTTATTTTAAAAAGAAATATGCCGATCACTTTAATCATTGGTTATACTTTCCTTTTGGGTGTTTTAAGACCATACAGTTGGCCCAAATAAACCAATTTAAGGTCATTTGAGGATCTGTTCCTCGGGTCACATGGGCTTGGGAGGAGCCCCTGGGGACACTGGTTCAAGTCCATCTGGTGGGGTCTCCATGACCTCCCTGAACAAGGAGAGGTACTAAAAGTTACC